TATATTATCATTTTCACTAGATGCAAATGTGCTCAGACAATTATTATAGATGGTAGGCGACATCATAAAGTCTATTGCCATACATTTTTCGCCAAAATCTGTATATATATGTTAGACTTTAAGGTATTTATCTATGGGCCTACGTTGCTTGATTATAAATTAATAAATAAATAAAATTATAAGGTGTGATACACTAAAAATCTAAAATATGGTTATAATAAAAACATAACATAACACAAATGAAGCTACTGAATATATGGCTATAGAACCTAAATCTCTTAGCTTTCTTTGGTTAACGAGAGTTTAAAAATTCTCTCTAATCTGTGGCTCATTCACAATCATCACACAGTTTCTGTCACAGAGTACCTTATTATAACCGGAAATGCATAAATGACACATGATTTAAAAAGTTACTCTTATGCATACTTTAAATACAGGCAACTATTTGTTAATCTACATCTCTATATACCTGAATCTAATCCATAATTTTGGTACTTGGCTTGATTTCTATAGTTTACTATATAACTTATTTGTTTTTTATTATTTTAATATGTTCAGTGTATATGGTTTATAGAAGTTCTCAGGCGTGTCCGTCAATAATATTCGTTTCTACAGTAATTTATATATAATTTCGAATCTAGGAAACAATTTTTCATGATTATTGGTCTTTAGGCCAAACATGTATGGAAGCTGAGCAATCTCCTTTAGCTATAGATAGGTAGTACAGTTTTATATGAAGGTTTTTTCTGGGTAAATTGATTAACAAAATAATTTTGTATAACAAGGGTATATAAATTTATATATGTACATATAAAAAAACGGCTAAGTGCGAGTCGGACTCGCGCACGAAGGGTATATTTTATCTATGCAACATAATATCGATCAAAAAACCGCAAACAAGGCACGCCTGTTGTATGGAAGCCTCCTTACATATTCATTTTAATTTAATTAATTATATTTAAAGTGAATATAGGTACAACTAAATATTCAGTGAATATTTCAAGCGTTTACCTGTTGCCGTTGTTTTTGCCCTTTTACTGCAAACCCCTAATTTTAGTTATAAGTAAAATGTGTATGTAAGATTTAGTCGTGAGTTGAGAGTGAACTCAGATCAAAAAACAAAACCTTTTGTTCTGTTATCTGAAAGAGAGAATGAAATTTTAGCTACCTGAATACATTTTTATTTAGTATGCATGGTAACCTTTATTTAAACAAAATATTTGCAATTTTGAAGTCTGAATGCGACGACGAATATAAAGAATTCATGTCATGTTAACTTTGTTGGTTCAAGTTATTGATTATATTGGTAAAGTTATCAAATATTATAAGAGAAACACCCAGTTTCTGAAAGTCTGTTCAGTGATAAAATTAACTAACAAGCCATCGAATCTTATGTTTGCCGTCTATTGAGTTGCTGTCGTTTTTATATACATCATACAGTCAATAAAAATCCTGGCTGTCCAATGTCCGCATTTTTTCATAGATAGGTCCGATAAATGACTTCACCACCTAATTTTAAGCGGCGGTGGAGTCCAGACGCGAAGGTATCTGGTACAGCAGTTCTACCTGACACACCAGAAATCACCCTGCCGGCCTGCATGTTAAAGAACTCTTTTAAAGGATCCCGGGTTGTAGGAGGGAGGGAACACGTGGGCGGGCAGAACATTCCATTTGCGGATAGTGTGACAAAGAAAGGATTTACCAAACTTCTTTGCTCGCGTTGAAATAGTGGCCACAGTTAGTCGGTGACAACGTAGGTCACCGCGCGTGCTCTTTTGAAGGAAAGGGGAGGAGGAATTAGGGAGAATAACTCCTGAGAACATTCGCCGTGTTATAGACGATATAACGCGCATAATGACTCCACCTTACCCTTACTAAAACATCGAGCAAGTGCATGGCGAAGCCATCCCAGAGGTATCTCAATCCCAATATTCCACGCAAGACCGTACCTGCGTCTTGTACAACAAGCACAGTTGCTCAGGCGTAAAAATCCCCAACGGCTTGTTCAGGTCTCCGAGTTTGCATGAGGCCTTTTTTACCACGCTTTCGATATAATTTTTTGGTTTCAAGTCACAGCAAATATCCATACCGACCATGGTGATATTGTTCTGTAGCTCTAGTGTTGTACCCTGAGGAGAAGGAAATGAAAGCCTCACCCTAGACGTGAGTCAAGTACGCTAGAAGATTACCCGTTCATCATTTCGGTCTAAAACCATATTGACGATCATTTATCAGGAAGTGTCCGAGGTATCGGGTCAGGTGTTTGTTAAGGACCTTTTTCATAATACTGAGGCGACTGCTATTGGTCGGTAGTTGACCGGGTCTGAGCGATCCATTTTTTTGGGCACCGGTTGCATATTGGCATCTCTGGCAAAGAATACGAGCATTGGTACAAGCGCGTGATCACGGGTGACAACTCCTCTGCACATTTTATAAGTACAACTACTGCGATGCCATCAGGTCCACTAGCTTTCCGGAAGTCGAGTAATTGTCCTTCGGCACGAACCTCACGCTACCTGATTTTAATATCAGGAATCGTTGTGCCACAATGAGGTAATGATGGTGACAGCGCAATGCAATCATCAATTCGGGAGTTAGCCGCAAAAAGTATTGCCAGTAACTCGGCTTTCTCCTGCGGCTTATGAGCTAGTGTTCCGTCTGGACATCTTAGAGGTGGCTGGCAGAAGTTGTTCTGCACGGCCTTGGACAAACTGTAATAACTACTTGAGCCCGTACTATGCGTTATAAATTCGTGGCCAGCACGTGCTGCATGGTGAGCATCCGCTCTGATGTAAGCCTTCTTACATGCCTTGGAAGCAATATAGACTACTGCTATTAGTGAAATAACCCCGGGATCCTTAAGAGCGCGGCCTCTGATCCAAGCACGATATGCCGCTTGCTTACGCAAAGCAGAGTCGCGATTGAAGCAGTGGTTACGTGTGCCTATACTGATGAGATTAAAATGTGGAATAAAATATTCCATACCTCATTATTAAGCAGTCCTTAACATGGATAAATATTTTAAAGTTTAATGACAATAGAATTATTGAACACCCGCAAGAAAGTAATAGATTTCCTTTAAATTACACGGAGGCAGATAATAATTATTGTAGTGTATGTGTCATGGACGTAGGATTTCGTAATAATACTTAGTCCATGTTATGCGTAGGTTATGGCTGTAAGCATACGAAGGCATGGCAACACCCTCATATTCACGTAATTATTGTAACGTCACGTCACTTAAGAGCGAGAGCAGACGTGTCGACTGCGCATACTGTGAAGCGGCGATCCGGTAGTACTCGTGATTACGAGTACTCTACAATTATTATTAATTAACCGTTTGAACTTTGTGCGCTTGAAAACACAAAATACCATATTGCATTCCATAACTTCATAATTTACTTAGAAAACTCGTTAACCTGGTTTACTGTACAGATAAATGCTGCAGATGTTGAAAACGGAGGTACTTGCACAACATTCGTGATATTACAATTACGGAATCACCATTTTTGTTGTATAAATTAACTATTGTTAACCATGACATAACAATAGTCAAACAAACAACATAACAATAGTGATTAATGAATCAATTATATTTCAATTCATATTTTTATGTTTTGCCTTCAACAAAAAATTAACAATTTGTTGGCCAAAGTAGTCTACCTTACTACTGTTCTTGAGTGATGCTAAATAATTATACATATATATTATATAATATAATTATAAAATTTTATAAGATGGGCTTAATTTACATACATTTTTAGTTTTTCTCTCATCCTTCTCCATTCCTCAATAGTTAAAATGTAATTAACTACCTGTTTAATACTATTAAACCTTGTTGTCGAATAAACACATAATTTCATGATAAAATTGTTCGTTCGTGTTGCTAGAGAAAACACATTAAACGTACGTTTTCAATATAAATGATCAAACGATCGGGATGTTTCTAAACTTCAGCCGTACGCCTCTACGTCTGATCCGAAATGCTACTGAAGTCATTTATTGTGGGTCGGATATAGGTGTATATAGATCCTTCCCCCGGTATCCGGAAGGGGATAAAAGTGAAGGGTGGATGCGGCTCACACTCCCAGAGAGGTGGGTCTCTGATTTTATCCGTTGCCGGCACAATTACGTCATACCATGCATAAGACATTGATTGATACTGATGTTTAGCACCTTCATAAAGCATTATATCAAAACATCAGTGACCCGCACTCGCTTTGCAGTGTAAATTAGGCATAGTGTTTTTTGGGCTTGTATTTACTTAATAAACTTTCCGTGAAAAAATATTGAAGATCGAGCGCCATCTCGCATTGTCATGCGGGCGTTATGTATATGACATGACAACTGCAAATGTAAAATCTCTACCGTAACAGAAAAAGCCACTTTTTAAAATAATTATTACGATCAAATGAACCAGTGCCGGTGCTTCTGAGCGCCTCATCCTATTTCAGAAGAGATAATCACATTTTACTTTTGAGTATGGATTGGGACATTAATCGGTAATTAGAGTCCTTTGAATGAGCATAGATACTAAATAGATTATAAAATAGCTTGTATAAAAATTTTCCTAGATTATGTTCTTTTGGTTGCTTAATGAGTCCAAAGTTCATTAATCTCTTTGTTCATCAAAATCTTATTATACAATAAGAATATGAACAGTTCACTAGCCCGAACATTGACATAGTAAAATACATATTATTAAATTGTTTATACAACTCATAAAAGAGATATGACGCTATGACGCATCATAGAACATCGCTTACTATCAACGAATAGTTTTCACCCATAATGAACACATTCAACCGGTTCTCCATCTCAGCGAAGCCTCTTAATTCCGGTAAAACAGAGTTCAATTTCCTCTATATTTTTTGCGTATATCGAAATTGCTGTTTCAACTTCAGTTGATACTGCAACTACAGGCGGGAGCTGACGCTTTAGATATAGATAGAAAGTGTATGTATAACGCTTCTGCTGATTAATAAAAATGTTCATTACAGAGGAAGACGAGTCCCAGATCTTCGTGAAGTTCTTCAAGTTCCACAAGTGTTACGACCTGATACCCACCTCGGCGAAGCTGGTGGTGTTTGATACGCAACTCCTCGTCAAGAAGGCGTTCTTCGCACTCGTGTACAATGGTGAGTTTAGAACGGTTAAGCTTGCGGATTTATTTAACAATTTACCTTGTAGCATATGAGTCACGAATATTATGAAACCAAACAATGATCCAAACTATTAAAGAACGCTTAGCGATTTCACTCGACACGTCTCTCAGATTTTTTCCTCGTTCAACATATTTTATAACTAATTCTGATTCTCTGGTTAACGAATCACAAATTTGTACTACTAAATACTGTATAACCAGACCTCTTCAAACAAACGTTACAATTTGTTACTATTGTTCCGTGTGTATGTTTTATCTCAAGGTCATCCGTTCTAAACGTCGGTTTATCTCATATTTTTTCTATTTGTTTTGTGATTTGCTCCTTCGATGCTATGCGAATTTGAATCTTTTTAATCGATCTGTCGTGATAACGGAACTATATTGATAATGTCATAATTCGAATTGCGCAGTGCACAGCGAACGCTCATTGTCATTGACAAATGTTGTAAAATCTATTATTTATTTGATACAGTTGCGAAATGGTTGCTCCCGGGCTCCTCCGAAAGAAACAATACGAGATCATTGCCATGGATACAAAGGTGTTTATCGTTCCAGATAATGTCGTTCATCTATCCACGTTTTATATCAAGTATCTTGAGTTATTCTGAATTTGGTGGGAGTTCTGTGTATATTTCTCTTTCAAGAACTGAGGTTTGCGAAATATCCGTATGATGAATATACCCTTACGTGTTGTTTATGATTATCATGTTTATTTTGTTATATAATTTACGTTTAAAATTAACGAATATCACTTGAAAAGTCAGATTGCGCATCGCTTATACAGCTGTAGGCTGTCACATTTGACAGTTCGGTAAACACTATTATATAATAATATTAGCATTTAGCATAAAGGAATTTGCTAAACGTTTTAACGAAGTGTCGGACAACATTATTAGCTGACCTTTTTTATTTATTTATTAGTAGCAAAGCTTTAAAATGAAATGTTATGTGAATCCTTCTTAAGATAGACCTCATTAAATGCAAAACAGTGGTTTGAAATAGATCGGTTTAAGTTTTGTACAGTCTCCATTGTGAGAGTCGTATTGTTTCTTAAGGGGTACCTTAGGGGCTGGATTAAATATATAAAATTAGTACACTAACATCATTTTCATTGGATCATCTTTCTTATTTTTTGGCGGATTTAGTTTGCATTTCTATATTTTTGTTCAAGTAAAATTTCTTGATTACGCATTTAAAAAAAAAATCAATGGTACTGTACAGTGGAGATTGTACATTGTGTCATTAACACTCGAGTATTTATATTAGTCCGGAGTAATTGTTATTATAATAACTCGTGCCATTAAAGAAAGGAATCGAAAAAGCCGACGAAAGACATTCTGTCTCTCTCGCACGTTGCTTTAGTTATCATGTGCGAGAATGTCTTGCGTCGTCATTTGCTATTCGTTTTGTTTATTGGCGCGAGTTATACAGAACTCTGTGAACATCCATCATCTAATTGAACGCGGCCTTGTTAATATCTTGTTAACAGAAACGTGTATCAGAAAATGTTTGGTCATTTATATATTTTAGTTTTATAATACCTTCTAAAACCAAAAAGCTAACCATTTGTTTGCTCTTTGTAGAATCAAAGCACATGCGTTCTTCCCTACGATAACTATATTATTATTAAGAATAAAATACATTTGAATAGTTACCGATTCTTTATACGTACTTAAGGCTTGTATTAACAGATCGCTCTCAACTCTGAAAGCAATCCTAAGTACGATCTCGAGATGCTGTTTTGTATGACAACAGTATCTCAAGATCGTAGTCTCAGAGTTAAAATCTATTAATAATTCGTGTTAATAAATTATGCCCGCTAAGTTATTAACAATTCATTTAAAGCTTTGCACCCATTTTTCAATCACCCCGTATTAGCTAACAAACGTGATTATTAAACGTCCTTAAGTTTAAAATTATTGTGTCAAATAGGTATATGCACTGCCAAAAAAACATTGTAAAAAACAGAAACAAAATTTTGAATAAAAATAATAACCGACTTCACAAATCTTAAAATAACATTGCGGGTAGTGCATCCGCTCGGACAGAAGAAGATTCAGGTTCGTATCCTGTTTGACACTATGACCGAGTGGATTTTTTTCTAGCCTAAGTTTTTCATAAGATTTATAAGTTTTTTATTTTCCACGATTTATAACTCAGACTAATAAGAAAGTATCTATAAGTTTCTCCCTTCTTTAGGCGCTTAAAAGAAAAAAAAAACTACTCAAATAAGTTATTATCTTTATATATATAATTCTTCTGTGAGTGTGTATGTCACTGAACTTCTCTTAAACGACTGGACCGATTTTGATGAAATTTTTTGTGTGTGTTCAAGGGGATCTGAGAATGGTTTAGATTCACAATTTTGTCCGCTGGACAACCCCTATTTTTTTAGGGGGGTACGAAGTTCGCTGGGTCAGCTAGTTTCCATATAAAGTGAATAGTCATTAAAGTGTTGTGATCATGTTCCGTGTTTCCATATTGTCTGTCTGTAAATAATTATGTTAATTAAATTGTTCTAACAGTCACACGGCCACAATGTTTTTTAAGTGATGCTGTCTCTTTCTTTGTTATAGCAATACAATAACACAAGGAGTCGCTTTGGCAAGCATTAAATTTAATTGATGTCTTTGAGTGCGTTGGTATAAGACTCTATTGTTTTATAATTGTTAATAACTATATCCATTGTAGATAAATAGCGGATTTTGATTTAGAAATGTTGCGCCTGTCCGGGAAGAACGTCACCTCCGCCTTACAGAGGACACAGCTTAATAACATTGCCTACCTTTCGATGGTATTGTATTTCTTTTGGTAAGGGTACAGAACTGGGTTGAGGACTTCAGACTGGCAATGTCCCGATTGATCGGTTAGATGACATGCATATTTTGGTAAGCTTTTTTACAGGACGACTTAGAAATATCATCATTTCAGCCGAAAGACGTCCACTGTTGGACATAGGCCACCCCCATGGATTTACACAACGATCGGTCCCATGCTGCCCGCATCCAGCGGCTTCCCGCGACCTTTACCAGATCGTCGGTCCACCTTGTGGGGGGCCTGCCAACACTGCGTTTCCCGGTACGCGGTCGCCACTCGAGGACCTTTCCGCCCCAACGGCCATCGGTCCTGCGAGCAATGTGCCCTGCCCATTGCCACTTAAGGTTTGCAATTCTGTGGGCTATGTCGGTGACTTTAGTTCTCTTGCGTATCTCCTCATTTCTGATTCGATCACGCAGAGAAACTCCGAGCATAGCCCTCTCCATTGCCCTTTGGGTGACTTTGAGCCTTCTTACAAGACCCATTGTAAGCGGCCACGTCTCGGTTCCGTATGTCATCACTGGCAACACGCACGAATTGAAGACTTTCGTCTTGAGGCACTGCGGTAGATGTTCCGAGAAGATGCTACGTAGCTTCCCGAACGCTGCCCAGCCGAGTTGGATTCGTCGATTAACCTCTTTCTGGAAGTTGGACTTACCCAGTTGGACTATTTGTCCCATTGTGATCGCTTCCCGTATTGAACGAATTGATCACTGAGACATCATTGAATATCCGAGTCTTAGTCGACATGATGAAGTCAATCTCATTTTTTGTCACGCCATCCGGACTTTTCCAGGTCCATTTTCGATGCAGCCGTTTTCTGAAGAAGGAGTTCATCATAAAGAGTCCCTCCTTCTCCATGTAGTCGGCTAGCATTCGACCTCGGAAGTTCCGGATTCCAACTCCAAATTGCCCCACTTTCAACTCATCATCGCCACGTTTGCCCAGCCTTGCGTTGAAGTCCCCCATGACAACGGTGTAATGGGTCCTGGAAGCATGCATTGCCCGAGAAATATCCTCATACATGACTTCCACTTCCTCGTCGGGGTGCGTCGAGGTCGGAGCGTATACCTGTATGACCTTCACGAATACCGTTTGGTGATTCTGAGTATAAGGTACGCCACCCTATTCGACACACTACCAATCTGTACAACATTGTTCACGAGAGACTTGTGGACAACAAACCCGACACCACCCTGGGACAGATCTTCGCCCTCCCGGAAATAGAGCAGGTTGCCGGATTTAAGGACCATCGTGTCCTCGCCCTCTCTTCGGACTTCAGATAGTCCTACAATACTCCAGCGAATCCTGCTCAAATCTTCCTCCAGTTCCAGCAGCTTCTCCTCGGTCCGCAGTGTGCGTGCGTTGTACGTTGCCAGGGCCAAGGTCGTTTGACGGGGGATTTTTGCCGCCCGGGGATTCTTCGCACCCCTGGTCCCGGCTCCGAGTCGGCGTCCGTCAGCGCCGCCACGGACTCCAGCACCGCCGGGCACTTGGGGCCTCTTATTTTGTACCATCATTTTAGGGGGGTTTTGGGCCGTCTCCCACCACGCTGGCCCAGTGCGGGTTGGTGGGGAGCGCCAGAGCCTCGTCCGTTGGTCGGCAGGGTACACCGCGGGCAGGTGAGGTTGGCTTGGGTACCGTTGGGTGTTAGGCGGCACCCCTTATACCCCCTTAGAAATATAAAAGACGATTACTAGGGGCCGGCCAGCTAAAATGAAATTACTTCCCAAATGGCATGATTCGTTTTTTTTTTAATTTACTGTCCAATTTCACGTATAGTTTTGAAAGCAAGTTTCAGGCCCTGCATTAAATAAAGATGTGTTTGTGTTCGGATGTCCTTTCTTTATTCTTTATCACAGAAGATACTTATATTCTATTTTTAAATTAAGCTTTGAAGACGGGTCTGTCGTGGGTTTAATTAAGTTGACCTGTATTTGCCATAAATTCTCTTAATAAGATGTCCTCAAAGCTTCTTAAATGGTTCCAATAAATCATCTAACAGTAACTTCATGATACAGGCCTAACCTCGTAAATATTCAATAAACTCTTAATTTATTTTTGTCTATATAAAGGGAAAGCACAATACGCTAACAGCAACCATTATTTCCTGTTATAACTACAGAATAATCTGCATTATTTCATAATATATGAATG